AGACAGAGTCGTCTTCTGCCCTCTCACAGACTTACAAGCCGAGGCATATGAGAACTTCCTCAGCTGTCCTGAGATCCATCTTCTACGCACCATATCAGATCCATGTCCACATGGCAGAAAGAAAGGCTGGTGCTGTCAAACCCGCCTCCCGGATGGCAGACGATGGCCCGCCATCATATTCCCAAGCATGATTACGTTGCAAAAATTAGCGAACCACCTCGCGCTGCTCACGCCGTCCACCACGGACCTTGAAAACAAGCATAAAAAGGAGCTGGAAACTCTAAAGCTCTGCCTTCCAAATACGTGGAAGCCACTCTACGAACAAAGAGACCAAATCACAAATCTTGTCAACCCCGAGTTCTGCGGCAAATGGAAAGTCATGAAGAAACTGCTAAGGTTCTGGCACCAAAACGGCGACAAGGTGCTTGTGTTCTCGCACAGCGTCCGGCTGCTCCGTATCCTGCAGCACCTATTCACGAGCACGAGCTACAACGTCAGCTACCTAGACGGATCACTCAGCTACGAGGAACGACAAGACGTCGTAGACACCTTCAACTCAGACCCCACCCAGTTTGTGTTTCTCATCTCAACCAAGGCAGGGGGTGTGGGACTCAACATCACTTCTGCCAACAAAGTCGTCATTGTCGATCCTCACTGGAACCCATCGTACGACTTGCAAGCTCAGGACCGCGCGTACCGAATCGGCCAGACTCGTGATGTCGAAGTCTTCCGCCTCATATCGCAGGGCACTGTAGAGGAAATCGTCTACGCACGACAAGTCTACAAGCAACAACAGGCAAATATCGGATACACCGCCTCATCCGAACGCCGGTACTTCAAAGGTGTACAGCATGATGAGGACAGAAAGGGCGAAATTTTCGGCCTGTCCAATATATTCACGTACCACGGGACGTCCAGCCTAGTGAGAAATATTGTGAATAACACCAACATAGCTGAAGCCAAAGCGGGCGTCGACATGGCTGATGTGGACATGGAACAGGCAGCCAAGGACGAGGAGGCGTTCGGTCCGCTGAAACGGGAAGATGCGGGCGCTGAAGACGGCGGTGTGAGTCAACTCGCTGCGCTTCTTACTGCTGAAAACCAACAGCAGCTCCTCGAGTCCAAAAAGTCGGGCGCGCCCAAGAGCGACGCCATCCAGGCAATCCTGACGTCGGTTGGCGTAGAATACACTCACGACAACTCTGAAGTCGTCGGCACGTCAAAGATAGAGGAGCAGCTCTCGCGCCGAGCGGCCATGCGATCATATGCGGATGGGGATACGGAGGGACAGAATGCCCTGTTTGCGAAATCCCAGGACGAAGACGATCGCGACATGCTACATAGCACATATCGACCGCCAGAGGACGTCTGTCTGCGGCAGTTCTGCTCAATGGCCCGGGAATTCGGGTTCGTCAATGCTACGGAATTTGCACTTGTGGTGGAGAATTGGTCGCAGGAAGCTAGGAGGAACTGCTTGGACACCTTTTATAGGAGGAGAGAGGCGCAGTTGGACGAGGCGGAGAATCTGAAACTGGAAAGGGCTGCTGAGGCGGCAGTTGAGGATGAGAGTGTCCAGGACGATGAGAAGAGCGATCATGTGGCGCAGGTTAAAGATGAAGACACGACGAGGAGCAAGAACAAGGACATAAAAAGGGTGAAGAATGAGGATATAAGGAGCGACATTAAGGATGAGGACATCAAGGCTGAAGGCGTCACTTTGGGAGACATCAAGAGAGAGGACATCAAGAGAGAGGGCATCAAGAGAGAGGGCATCAAGAGAGAGGGTATCAAGGACGAGGATGCCAAGGACGAGGATGTCAAGACTGTCGCCTTAAAGGAGGATATTAAGCCTGAGGACGCAGGCGAAACGAGAACTAAACACCAGCCAGCCAACGCTATTGATGCGAAACCAAAAACGTTCAAGGTGGAGGGCGCATCGAAACGAGATTCAATTTTTATTTCCGACGACGATGATGATGAGCTATAGGCGTTCTGAGAGAATATTTGTTTACGGAAGATACCCCCTTTTTTGTAATGTCAATGATTCGCTGGCTGCGGCATGCACCTTTTCATGACTTCGTGTGTGCCAGAGAGGCTCTGGTTTTATGCTCATTTGGTCAAAACTCCAATGACATGAGGCAGAACGGCATAAGGGGGCTCGTCTGGTGAAGTTGTCAGATCAAACTTGTTCCAGATGCCGACGTCACGCAGCGTCTGATCGGTAGGTCTACAAATCCGGCATGACCCCATGAAGAACATCCAAACGCAGTTGACAAGGCCTACCCGATCGAATTAGTCACCCAATTTTCCCCCCACGAGGCAGAGGATCGAAGCACTTACGCTGATAAAGAGGCATGATAGGAAACCCTCGGGCCGTCTTGACGTGCTCAAACACATACCACGTACCGCCCGGCTTCAACAACTTGTACAGGTGCTCAATGTTCTCCTTGGGATCCGGAATACTGCACATGCACCTGATGCCAACGATACAGTCGACGCTCCCAGGCTCAATCTTGCCCTCCCACGCGTTAGGGTTCGTGACGTCCTCGATGCCTACAGGCACCACCTCATACACATCCCCCAAGCCAACTTCCTTTACTCGTTTTCGCAAGGTCGCCGCTGAGATTGGATTCGGCTCAATGCCATAAATCTTGGTGATGCCGCTTTTATCTCTTCCACTCTCACCCTTCCTACTTCTCAGCCCTTCTGTTTCACCATTCCCAGACGAGGCGTTTCTGTGAATGCGAGCCAGGACATCCGCCCACATACCGCTACCAGCACCAACCTCAAGAACGGTTCCATGCACAGGCGTGGATACGACATGGTCATGGACTTTTCCGCCAGACACTTTGCCTTCGAGGAGTGGAACAACGACTGGTTCTGCACCAGCCTTTGCCTGTGGACCCAACGTCACCCAGAGGTTTCCAAAGAGTTCTTCACCAAAGGCCGATGGCGACAAGAGTTTACCATAGTTGCCCGAGGACACGAGGCCGGCGATGGTACTAGGTATGTAGGTGATTGACAAGACGATCATGAGCCATGGCTCGATGAGGTGCGTGAAGAGCTGCTGGATATCGGTGAAGATGGACATGGTGATAAGAGCAAAAGGGAAGGTGCATTGGGGGGGAGAAGAACGACTCCAAATTACATGGAACTGAATTCTTAGTAATTTGAGAAAATAAAAATAGAGGGGAGAGTGGTAGGGGTGTGAGTGAAGAAGGAGAAGGAGAAGGAGCAGTCTCAAGTCATGTGCCTACGAGCTTGCCTTAAGTGCCAGCTTTTGCCCTCCCGGCCCTCGCAAGGCTAATACGCCCCGGTTCCTTTTATTTACTCTGGCCGACTCCCGCACGCCCTTTACTTCATGCCCCAAATCGCCAAATCGGGCCACGGCCCTCCGCTCATGCGTTCGCAGAGGGGGGCCAAGCGAGGCAGTTTTCAGCCAATGCCACGAGTCGAGAGGCCGGGCCGTGGGGCCGAAAACACCGCCGTCGGGGTCCACCGACAAGCCGAGCTGCTGGGTGTAGCCTCCACCGAGAGAAATACAGTATATATTTCCGTAACAAAGATGGGCAAGCATGTTACAGGATGCAGTGACTCAGAGGGATGTGCAGTGGTTTACTATGGAATACACAACACTCCAAGAAAGCAGGCAAAGATGTCCTGCGTGGTTTATGGATACCTTTAGCGGTTCTGTGGCCAGTACTTGTTGCGTTGTTAGGGCAATTTGACCCAGCGTGGGGTGAGCCAAGTAATTCATCATTACAAGCACGAGGCAGTTTGACCCGTTTTGGAAGCTCGCCTACCAATAGACGATGATGCTACAACTCCAGGACTGAGCACACTGAAGGAGAAATGCCCATTCTTCACTCACGACAACCGGGTTTAGAAATACTCGTTAGCCAAAGAGCCTGAATTCTCTACCAAGTCGACAATCGACATTCTCCATATCGCATGATGCCTGTTCCCGTGAAATCTCGAAACCGCCCCAACGCCGCAAAACGCCCGCCCCGGCTGCTCTCTACAGCAGCTCAAAATCATCCAACTGGTCCCTGTACTTCATGATGTTCCTCTTAATCTTGCTGCCCACAGACCACGTCACAAAGTCCTCGGTCGACCTCGTCACCAAGTACGCCGGGTCCGTCACCGTCTCGACACCCACACGCACGTGCCCCTGCTCAATCATCTTGGTCGCGGCCTGCACCGTCTCCGCCATGCGCAGCCGCGTCATCACAACGGGCAGTCGCCTCCTCGCAAAGGCGCTGACGGTGACGCTCTTCTCGACGGCCGAAAGCTTCGACGTTCCGGGCAGAATGCCCATGTCGTAGAGCTTGTTGAGGAGGAGCTCCTCGTGCTTGCGGCGAGTCGCACTTTCGGGGGGCAGTAGCGAAAGGCGGTGGGCTAGTTGTCTGAGGGACTGAGAAGGTGAGTCATGTCAGCGATAGGCTATTCGGGCATGCAAGCTGGCGTTGCATGCTGCTCAGCCGCACGGGGGTTGGGAGAGAAGAAGAAAAACGTACGCCACAGATTCTGTTGTATTTGTGGTAATCTTCAGGTTTTTGAATCATGTATCGACGGATGACGGCTTTGTCGCGGTGGTCCTTGTCGGATTTGTAGGTGATGAAGTCGGTCTTGCGGAGGAGCTTTTGCTCGTGGTACTTGAGCTTGCGCACCATCTTGGCCGGCTGGAGGTCTGCAAGAGTCAAGCGCTCGTGTGTACAGCTTGCTAGCCGGTTTTCGAATCCTCAACTCGTGCCGCGATGGGCGAAATTTTACGAGCTCTGCGCAAAAAAAAAAAAAGCAGATGACCCCCGCTGATAAAGGTTTGTCGTGACGAGTTGCAAACTCCAAAAAGGCCGGATTGCTTGCACGGAGAAAATCCAAAAGAAAATAAAGCGGGGCATTTCTCGACTCCCGCCAACCAGGAGCTAGCTTCACACCTTGCAACTTCATCGCTTTCTCTTCTTCGAGGTCCAACTTCACAGCAGCAACAATCGCCAACCATGCCGCCACGACTCCCCGTGTGCGCTCTGCGCGCTCAATGCTCCCCTTGGAGCGCTTTCCGCGCATTCTCTTCCTCGCCGGCAGTCGCGTCTCCCCCCCGGGAGCCGCCTCACCCCCAGCCTCACCACCAGACGGCCCGGCCGCCGACGCCCTCGTCTAGCAGCAGTCTTCTCTCCATCAGCGCCGACCGCCACAAGCGCGCCCCCAGTGTGCGCGCCATGCGTCCCGGCGAGGCAGCCGCCAAGATGATGAACCGCTACACCGACAAGCAAAACCGGAGCAGGCTCGAGTCCGTCGAGGCGCTGAGGAATTCCAAGAACTCGGCGGATTACCTGAAGCAGATGCCGAGGAGGTGGGATGCGGGCGATGTGTATTCGCCGCACGACTTGAGTCCCGTGGAGATGCAGAAGTGGAGGAAGAGGTCGTTGAGGAGCAATGATGTCGTTGATGCATTGGGCATTAGGCCATTGGACATGTACAAGGTAAGGGCGGCGGCCCTCGACGAGGAAGTGAACTGTTTTGGCGCAGCTCTGCTAATGTTTTGGTGCAGAACTTTTCTCTTGTGCAGGAATTCACCACCTCATCGGGCCAAATCATTCACTCTGCCGGCACGAGCTTGCGGCCCGTCAATCAGCGCAAGATTGCCAAGATGATTCGTCGTGTTCAGGGCATGGGCATTTATCCCACGATTCATGATCATCCTGAGATGATTCGGGACGACTTCTTCCCTGAGAGGAGATGAAGTGCAGATGGAAACAGATGCAGCTTCGGAAGTAAGGGGAAGGGGGTTCAAACAAGTTGGTATCTGCCGAGAAGTGGGCAACCTCGTTGGCCACCTCTATTCTTCATATCCCACTATATGTACAACAGCCTAAAGCTCCGTTTCATGTATAGATACAAATATCCAAAGACACATATGCCTTTTGCTTTTATACACAATCATGTCTTCATGATTCGCTTGATTTTGATTTGACAGAGGCCGTACTCGTTGAGCCGTCTGCCAACTTTGTCCAGCTCTGCCCATGTGGCTCGGTACTTTTTCTTTACCCAGTCGCGGTAGTTTGCTTGTAGTTCTTGTCCGGGGAGTGCGTTGTGCGCAATGGCTAGTCTGTTTCTATAGATTAGTATCATTGGTTTCATTATCCTCATGTCCATGGCAGTTCGTTAGACTCACGTCATTGAATCTGGCTCCGATCCAACATAGGATGCCATATTCATAATTAGCCCACGCACTTCTTTCTCATTGCCACTTCCGGCCACGGCGCCCACGTATGCACTGTACACGGCTTGAGGCACTTCCAAATCCATCCGCTCGATTCTCTCCCAGATTTCACGGGCCTGCTTATCTCCACCGGATTTCTTTTCTAAAGCCCAAAACACTGCCTGTAAACTTGCATATGACGGACCCTCACGAGACTGGATAATCTCATTCCAAAAGTCCAATGATGTTGTCGGCTTGTCGCAAGCTGCGTAAGCCAGCATCAGCCCGGTGTACAGCTTTGTGTTGGGTTGGATAGTAGTATCCATCTTGAGCATGTTGTGCACCAAGACTAATCCCTCGGGATCAGGATTCTGTGCGACTCCCTCTAGATAGAGTATATACGTATCCATAGTAGGGTGATAGGTCTTGTTTCGGTGTTGACGCATGTGCCCAAACACATGGGAGGCCATATCGGGCCGTTTGCGGTCAAAGAACGATGATATCAGTTTCATCCTGAGCTCATAGCTCGTATCTTGGAAGAATTGTTGAAGAAGTTGGTACGCGCCCCATGCTCGAGATGTACTAGTCCCTTTGTCGAGACAAAATGTCACAAAGGCGTGTTGCACAACCTCTCGTTGCTGCTCGCTATATAGGAAAGAATGGAGAGATAGCAAATCCATTACGTCAAAGTGCTGATCATTCTCCAGAAACTTGACACAAAGAGCTGCTACGGTTTCCGGGTCTAGCAGCATCTGTTCCTCCTCGAGTGCGTCTAGAAGCGCAAGAATAGTCTTGAAGTCTGGAGGTACTTGGCGTGATAACAGAGTCAAATATTTATTGGAGGATTGACGAAAATCATCAAAGAGATCAGATCCATTTTCGTTGTTCCATGGTTCGAAGTGTTTGACTTGTTCAAAAGCGCGTTGTGCGCCCTTGAGGTCGACAGCCTCTAACCTCAGCCGCAACAGACGAAGATAGGTCTCTCCACTCGGCGCAAGCCCCCTCTCGGCACAAAGTGCAAGTATGCCTTCACCCAATTCCGAATCTTGAGTCTCGATTGCAACAGTCAAGAGACCATTGATGGTGCTGATTGTGGGAGCAAGCGCCCCGTTGCGATCGACCATATGTCCCATTATGGCTTCTACTTCCGCCAAGCTCCTCCCAAGTAGCAAGATGGACTGCAGTATAGCATCCCAATGTTTTCTTTTCGGTTGCGACTGCCCTAGTTCAAGAATAAGAGGCCCTGCCCATTCCTGGAGGTCGTTTCTTCTCGCGAATGATGCTATGTCTCTATAAACCTGAGCCTGACAGTACTTTTGGTCTATTGGCTGGCTAAACCAATACTGAGTTTCGGTAACCTTGTCGTTGTTGGCAAAATATCGAACCATGACCGCTTGGATGGTAGCATCATACGGGACACCATGCGCCATGGCATAGTTGACTAGCTCGACAAGCTCTGCTTCTTTGCCTTCTCTCGCAAGTCCATGGGCCACGGATGCCAGCAGTCGATCCTCCTTGACCAAGTAGGCATGATAGGAAGGATCCGCCCACTTTGATTTCAACATTAGCAGTGCTTCTTCCGAGCCACCGTACTCGCATAGCATCTTGATGAAATAGCTCCATTGCAGCTGGGGAGGTCGAGCTTTGCCGGTGTGATTTCCCGAAGACCAGACTGCGTATAATGATTTCGCCAGTTCCAAATGATTTTCACTTCTCTCTTGCGGTTCGATATCGAGAAGAACTTGTCGTATCATGGACAAATCCGCCGAGGACAGCGACTTCGAGTGCTGGTCATGTCCGTCGCTAGTCGTAAGGTATTCAAGCAATCGGCGACATTGTAAGGCCTGCGTGCTATTCAGCGGCATCTTCCTCTTCAACTTGGATTGCATAAGCTTCCTCAATGCGTCTATCAATTCTTTCCTTGGCGGCGGTCGCAGATTATCGAGCATCCGACTTCTCCAAACCATGACTTGCATCCATCCTGGCTCATACTCGGGTTGTCGAATTTCTCGCGGAGGTTTCTGGAACAGCGCATTGAGAAATGTCCTCGCAAAAGTCCTCTGCACCACAGGTCGCGAAATCGGTCGTCGTCGGGTCGGAGGAACGCAGGGAAGACATGCTGGAGCGGACGTCGGCCGGTAAACTAGGAACCGGCGACCATGACGGGCCAGATTCACCCTCATGGTTGATTAATTCTAGGAGTTGATGGCACTTATAGACGTAAGTGGATCGATCATTGAGCCAACAAAGGGTCGCATTCCACTTACAAGAGCATCTTCAAGGTGAAAACCCTGGTCTGCAGGTTGAAGGCGTCCGCACCTTGAGCAGGTTAAAGCTATCTTCAGATTGCTGGACAATTATTGCGGGTCTCATAACTACATGCATACATGATGAAATTCCCGTGGTTTAACCGAACTCATCACCTCCGCCATCGAGTAATCTTGGCTCAACGCTCGTCTTCCGGGCGCAGCAAGCATCGTGCAATAAAGAAAGAAATACCGCTGTATTCTCTCGTCCACTTAGTCGCTGACGGCGCCGAGGCAATAATTATTTTTTTATAAACAGACAAGACCACCGACGTAGAGAAACTACATATAATGATACTGGTAAAAGCCAGTATCCACGACCCTTAATAATCGCATGCTCTCACCCCAAACGCCACCCTCCTTTCCGGTAGTAAGGTCCCCCCACGGCGACGATGCTCCCTCTACTCTGTTGACGATGTTGTAGTGAGTGTGTGTAACGAGGTGTGTTACGAGTCTGTGTAACGAGTCTGTATGACTTGATGTTTAGCAGGAAGAGAGGGGGGAAAAAAGCCAAAAGCCAAAAGGCCAAAACAAAAACAAAGAAGTAGCAGTATATGAAAGAGCATAGAATAAGCGAGCCTCCATTCTGTTTACACAGATTATAGGAAATCACCATCTGCTCTTGCTCTGCTGATGGGGGAAGTTCAACCCACCGAGTTTGTACCGTGACGAGCGAGGCATACGAGTATCGTGCAAGCGTAACATCTAATAATATAGTATTAGGCTGTAAGCTAAGAACAGTAAAAGACTAGAAAAATAAACCATTTATACGCGTATCATGACGCGTTACACGCACACCAGCGGAATTAGTGCTGCATCGCGCCCCGCTAGCTAAAGCCATCTCGCGATAGCCTCAGCCATCATCATCATAGAAGCAAAGGAAGGCTTTCATGAACGCGGAACCTAAACGCAGCACCAAGGAAGCTGCTAGACCAGCTCCTAAAGGGGCCAAAAGGGCCAAAAAGGCCAAGGCTGCCAAATAACACTGAATTGGTAGTTTCAATTTGTTCCGGAAACGCCTTATTATTTACTGTTTTATATATAATATCCTATAACCAGCTATCAGGTAAGACATAAACCCGCCAAGTAATTCACAGGCACACCATGCAAGCTCTACTACAGACGGCCCAAGACTTTTAAGGTCTAGAGATCCAACATGCGAGGAGAACTAGACACAGACAAAGTTTAGCAACAAGACAATAAATGCCTTTTCGCGGGCGGCTAATGCAAGTCCGCCGCATGTAAACCCCAGATTAAATTACCACGGTCAAGCTTAAAAACGCCACGCCCAGGGGGAAAAGATCCCACCCCAAGTATAAAATATGGCTGGGCCTTCTGTTTAAAAAAAAAAAAACCATCTTACAATTTATTTCCTCAACTACCGCTCAGCAACCATTACTTCAGGCAAAAAACTCAAGAGCAACCAGTCTCGCTAGCGGATATGAAGTCATTGCTGGAAGATTCACCTGGCCCTTCTTCCCCTCCTTCTCCTGCTCCTCCTGCTCCTCCCCCTCCCCCTTATAACCCTTCTAATAACATTAAGGGAAAATACCGCGCTCATGAAGACTCCCATTTTAATGGCGGACGTGCCCGAATCAAGCTGCAAAAAGACATGAACTTTCCCCCACTAATTGGGCCATGGAAGTACGACGAAAAAACCCACAACGATGCAATCTGGATAGCACATATGGACATTTGCTTCAAAGACGTGTCCGCAACCATGGAGCAAGGCCTATATTGGTCGCGGGATAATATAGATCCTACCGGCTCTAAAGTCTTCCACAATTCGTGGGGTAAATCTGCTGAGGACGGCTTCACTCGCGGGCGTCAATTTCATCTCATTGACTTGGCGGAGGATCCCCAGTGGAAGGCAAGCCTCGTAGTTTACGCCCCCAAAGTCAAGGCTCTTTCTGAATTCCGAATCCAAAATCTCTCGGTTGATAATATTGCCGACATGACTGCCTTCACTGGAGACGGGAGGTGGATTTATGAATATAACCGAGGTGATCCCGGGCAAAATTTTAATGCCATTTACGATGATATGCCGCTAGGTGGTTGGTGGCCGTGGCCTAAGAATGCGCATATCTAGGACGACGCTCTGGCTGTCACACGGTTACACGAGGGCCGCGATCTTGGGACCTGGGGCATAAGGCACACGGGCTTTCTTGTCCCAGGGCACGAGTCGAGCTGCCGAGGCGGGCAGACAAGTACATACCATGGTGCTGGATAAGAAGTGGGATTTGGCTGCAGGCGGCCCCCCAGTAGGGCCCCTGGAGGGGAAGATAAAAAAAAAAGGAAGCTCTGGGAGATGATTGGAATCTAGTTGAAAGGCTCAAATTGATCAGCAGCAGCAGCTTTGCTCAAACGTATGGCAAGGGCTCACGTTGGCATACGACCTAGTTATGGGAGTATTAGAACCACGAAAGAATTTTGAGATCTCACAAAAATAGTTTTGACCAGACTTCTGGAGTTACCTCAGAACAGCTAATAACTTGGCGAGTCGTATTAAAAAGAGCCCAATTCATGTCATCTTGATACATATTCCGTATTCAGACACCATCTTCCATACTACTACAAATCCCCCAATCGCAGGTATTATGTACATCCCAGCGAAAAACATGAACGCCCCGAGCAAAAGATAAGTCATAAAACGGTCACTTACTTTTCTCTCCTTGCCTGGGGGTCGGTGTTCTTCTTGTGGCCCACTGTTCAATCTCCAAAGAACTGGCCTGGATTCCACAAATATTGTTGACATAGAGCCAAGACCAGGGCCGGCGACAGACCCCAAACAAAGCCAAAGCATAGTCCAGACCCGTTGATGAGGTGCGCTTTTCCCTGGCTGGAACAAGGACATGGCGCCGACAATAGCCACCGGCGCTGCAGCAATGGCGCCGGCGATATACAGCGGTATTGTCGTTCGCGCTGTATCCTTTTCGGAACGAAACAAAAACTCAAGGGTCATGGGTGTGAGTTTATTTTCTCGGAGGACAGTTCCGTAAGAGTAGATGACACGTTCTTCGGTCTCTTTGCTAATTCGGCCCATTGCTGAATCCAAGGGGTATCTATGCGCCAACCCATTTTCCTTCAGTTTATTTCGTAGTTTGTCCAGTGCAGGAGAGTTGACTAGAAACATCGTCGAGTACTGGGGGCATATCAGATTCCCCATCAAGTTCAACATGGACATCAAAATATACGGTGTGACCGTGAACCCAAACGCCGCATACCCGTATGTGGCAATTTGGTTCCCTCTTGTTTCGTAAAGAGTAAGAGCAGCGTAGACGAGTTGGCCAACAGATGCGAAAATTTTGAGCATGTTATGGCTGGAAGCTACAGGGCCCTCAGTCTTGTGTCTTGGTCGAAAAGTGGCGGTAAATGTATGCTCCATCCTTTCTTTAAATCCCCCGCCCTGGGTTACAGGAATGTCGTCCTCAAAAGTTACCCATTTTGGCAAGACCACGAGGCGATATCCTTTAGGTAGCCGTGAAATGCCATTCACGTGGGTAGTTGATATATCCGGGGGGAACACTAAAAAAAAGGTCAGAAGACTAGTATACGCAAAGTAGCTCGGGTGAAATTTTCATCTTACCCTCATCTCCTTCTTCATCAAGCACCTCCCTGGCCACAGTATCAACTACACTGATGCTTCCTTTCGTCCTGGTATCAGTGCAAGTGACACAGATTCCGCCTCTGCATATGCAGCCTGTTGATTGTGGTCTGGGTTGCATTGGATCACAGACTTCTGAAATGCCATCTTGCTTGACAATGGATCTCCCGGCTTCAGCGTCATCTTCTTCCGAGAAGGTGATCTCGTCCGGCTTAAAAATCATACATATAGCCCCGGCTCTGGCTGCTTTCGTCAGTTCTGTCGGAGCAAAACAAGCCAGGCTGCTGACAGCATGAACTGCTACCAAGACGCCAGCCCCAGGAAAACATAGAGCAAGTAGTATGCTGACAGCCCACGAGAGACTGCTCTGTCCCGGTCTTCCGATAACTGTTGCCGCATGAGATACATAATTCCCTAAGAAAAATACCATGATATCCTTCCATTCGGCTGGCTTGCACATGAGACTGCAGTCGCCATGATGGGTGAAGCCGGGGATTTGGATTGGGCAACTTGCGTCTTCCATCTCTACTCCATTGGATGAGTAACAACCAGTAAACTTCGACAAGGGATACAGAGTATTTCAAGAGATATTTCCCTAGGTAAGTCTATCACAGCTTCAAGAACAGACCAATTCAGCCTCAACCTTGCGCCGGAGGGTGCAAATGTCGAAGGCGGAACGGCAAAGCATGCCTGGGTAGTTGCCTCTTTATGTTTCTCATGTTTCATTGCAGGCCCCAAGCAAGCTGCACAGCTGCGCCATGAAGCATCAAACCCGCATCTCACCCCCGTTGGTTACTGGCAGCCTTGTTTTCTGCAGCAAGTCGGCGGCTATCAGAGCTGAAAATAGACGAACCCCGGTCAAGCACAACCCCTGTGAGCCGCCAGGCTCTCTTTCGGGCCCAGCAAACGATTTCATTTCTCTCGGCTGGCAGCGTCGCAATCGTCCTGGCCGTATGTGTAAGCAAGCTGCACAATGCGGCGAATTCACGCCTTTGGGGGCTATTAAATTCGAGCCTCTCGAACAGTTGAATTCGGGCCTCCGAAGCCGCTATTGCTGTCCGATTCGAGACTTTTAAAGCTCTTGAGTTCGGCCCTGCCGCCGCCGTTGGATTTGAGCACTTTGAAGCTGTTGAGTTTAAACCCCTTGGGCTGCTGCTGCTGAATTTGAAGCTTTTTAGCTGGGTTGATGTGAATTGCTCGGCGACCTACTCTTTTCGCTCGCACCCCACAAGGATACCTGCACGGGTCAAATACCAAGTCCAGCGGGACACCGTATATACTATTACTAGATTGATGATAAGGTACAAGAGCTATAAGAAAGTATAGGGCTTTATTTTTTGAAGAGAATTAAGGGTAAAACTTGAGAGAATATATGCACTATATGCAATAAGAAGAAGTATATAAAATAAGGGGTTGATTGAAGCTGCTACAAGTTGCCTACCTACCTAGGTACTTAAGTACTTAAGTACTTAGATATAAGTACCTAGGTACCTAGGTAGGTAGTATGTACGCACACCCACGCTTGCTATTGATGGAAGTAATAGTAGAACCAGGAAAGCATTTCAGGATTACATACGAGATATTTTTAACCAGACTTACTAAGTTGCCTTGGAACAGTTAATAACTCGGTGAGTTATTAAAAAAGCCCACTCTTTTATTGCTGGAATGAAGCCATATTCTGCAATAGGGGTGGGTAGATTGGAGGGAAAAGCAATGCAACTATCTGACTTTTTTGCTCTTGTTTTGGATTTCAATTGAAAAAAGGCTTAAATATGAGCTTCTCGAAATTTCCGAGTATAAAAAGCGGGAAAACCTGTGTCATGTTCTCCTTCCCGTCGGTCCTTGTCACGTGATGGCCTTGTCCAAGTTGAGTCCCAAACCTGTTCACGAGAGCCTCGGTCTCATCCCTCACAACGACCTGCGCCGACGGCACCAATATCCGTAACCATGTCGTCGACATTAGTCACAGGATCATCAAGTCAGTTGACCGACACAAAATTTTCCGACGTTATTCCTTCCGTCGCCGTGATCGATACGCCTCTATCCAAAAGCATCGCCCTCCTTCGACCGGGTCTCATACTGGGACTCCTCGCCCTACGTTTCAATTCTCTCGTCGCTGATCCCGTGCCGACTCTCCAGCTTGCGCTCCCTGCTGTCGCCTTGGTCCAGACTGTATATGCGATTATTTGTCTTCCCGTTGCTGGCTCTCAATCCGCCAAGGTTGTGAGGAAGCCTCGTCCCGGGGAGAAGAAGAAGGCTGACATAAATGGACCAAACACCATCTCGGTATGTACTATGAACGGCGCCTTTTTTTCCCCTTGAAAAATGGGCGTGGTTGCAAAGTATGCTCTTGTCGCTAATTCAAGATGGGTTGCCACCAACTAGACAGCTATCCTCGCTTTACTCCTAAGCGCAATCGCCACCCCGGCTGTGTACATTCTCTTTGTTCTATTTGGCGCTCCTTTTCTCGATCACGTCGAACACACGCTTCTCTGCTCTGCACACTTCTCGTTGCTCGCTCTCTTCCCTATATTCTACTCGAGGGGTGTAAAGGCCGAAACCCTTGTCGCGGTGGCCGGTGCTTCAGCGCCTCTGGACGAAACATTTGGAGGACTGGTTGGTGCTGTAGCTGGGGCATGGCTTGGAGCAGTTCCCATTCCACTGGACTGGGATAGAGAGTGGCAGAAATGGCCAGTCACGATTGTGGTCGGCATGTTTGCAGGCTCATTGCTGTGCAGCTCGGTGTCGGGGACGTTGCTCTTTGGCAAACGGTTGAGCAGCAATGAAGAAAAGAACGAGTAATTAAGAGTAGGCCCCTCTACAAGGTGAATTGATACAATAATGTCTCTAGGTGGCTACAGAAGTACATACATGTCGCCCCACGTCGAAAGCCTGCAAGCAAATCCATGCGTCCCTATTCAATGGCATGCCATTCGTCTAGATACAATCATGCGGCGGCAGGTGAGTAGTGCTGCCACATAAAATTTAGACGCGGCGTCTATTATGGCAGTCGCATGACACATGGAATGAGGATGGCACACAGGACATTTCAGAAAACTATGATTAATGGGTATCTAATAGCTGCCCTGAGGCATTACTTCCAAAGGTAGCGTCAAGTTATTGGCCATACATCCTCATACCGTGCATACACTGCCCCTTCCAAACCACAGAGAAAAAAATAGAAGCAGGGGGATAGCGGAACCGTACAAGTCATAAGCTACCCGTAGAGACTCGCCCCAAACAGCCAACTGAGTATGAGATCGAAAGAGAAGAAGGATTGCAACGGGTTGGTTCAAAGCCTTGAATATCTTAGGTTCGCATCATCATGCAGACATGGACGCAATTCGCCAACGCCGCCGGTGTTTAGCGTGAGTAAATGACCCAGAAGGCGTGAATAAGACCAGGAAAGTAACCTGGGAGTAAGAAACAAGTTTGTCAGCAAAAGTCATCGGTAGTAGAGGAAGCGTCTGTTCCGGACGGCGGTCTGGATAAAGGCGATGCTGCCATGTTGCCTAGAGGCTTGGCACGTACCCAAGATTGTGAGAATGACGTTGATCCAAAATTGGCCAGAGCAGCCAACCTCAAGGAACACACCCAGAGGGGGCAGAATAATGGCAAGGATGACCTTGCAAATGTCGCTGGCGTGAAAGGTCAGTCTCATATCTCATTTTGTCACAGTTTCTCTCGCTGGTGTCTGCTTGCTGTGGTAATCATGACTCCGTGAGCGGCGCGGATCCGAGCTGCACTCAGCCAGATCCATTGGCCACCAGCAGCAAAATCGCCGTTGAGAAGCGTCTCGCTTTCGAGCGCATCAATACAAAGCTTACCTAGCGGTGACAGGCATGTTGTCGGTTTAAAGCTAACAGCTTGGGGAGTTCTAGTTGATGCGGAATGACGTTGACGAAAGATGTTTTGAAGGAAGCCGAACGAGGGGAAGGCGGGCGGAGGGGGGAGGCAGCTTACTTATTCTGTTTTCCAAACAGCAGAAGCGATCTTTCCCAAGCCAAGTGTTTTTGCCTTTGCCAATGCTACTTAGTATTAGTACCACGCCGACAGCAAACCCAGGTTCGGGTCGCGCGGCGGGACCGCCGATGCAATAGCAGCATGTGTGTCTCGAACCATGGATTTCCATCCCGCCGACTTGTTATTGCTCCCTGTCTTTCCGGTACCCAGTTATCGCAGCTACTAACGCGCACAACATTGGTCGACCAGGTCTCCATGCACTCTGGGGGCCTGCCCAATCGACGATGCGTAACTGTATCGCCACCAACCAGCCCGGCCGCCCGTCCCACAAGCCTTCTCCTGCGTCATCGACTCGCTCCCGAAAGGAAATGGAGCCAGGATAAGCAAGTTTGCGAGCTTCCCTTCGGAACATGATTTCCACGCTGTGTCGCGCGACAAGAAAGCTCCTCACCCCTCTAGTCTGGCAACACTGCTGTCTCGTCTCAGCAACAACCTCAAACGTTCGCTCCAATCGACCCCGCCTCCAACAACTCGGCCTTCCCAGATGTGGCACGAAGCTCCAGAGGCCCCGTGCCGATGGAAAAAATCAAATAATCACACAAGTGATCAAGAGTCTGTACTCCGTAAGCCCAATCTGCAATACGTCATGGCACGGTCCCCCTTCGAAATGCAACGACAGGGATCAATTGATTTGCACCGCCACACAATATGTGCAGCAATTGACGCTACAATTACTAGCGTCTTCAGCAACCACACATCCACCATCTAACCGCTGCCAAGCCACAGATGAGCCTGGTGCCAAGAAGACAAGCCACAAATTGGGGACAGGGCCAGCAGCTCTCAAGTGCTACCTTGCTCCATGACGGCAGAGGGTGGCCTCATCATGATGATGACATATGCTGTGCGCATGTTTGTCATGGTGTCACGGCACATGAGGACACAATCAGCTGCGACTGCCATGTCAATTGACAGCCCCGGGGAAAAAATCAAAATGCGCCGGTTAAGAAGGGTCGACAAACCCCAGCCATCCGTTATATCCCCAGATGGCCCTTCCACCGCCAGACTCCAGACCGATAGCTCGCCGGGCACCCAGCCGGTCCGAGTGCGCAGTGCATCTGAATACCGGACCCGCTGTTGGGCGAACATTTGTTGGCGCAGTTTTCCCTCCGGCGCGCACCGGGTGCATCAGACCCCGTCTGCACCACAACGCTTGCCAGTTGCAGCGTGGTATTCCTTACCTCCGTCCCAACCACACGATACGGAGGTACATACTTAAGTACATGGCATGCGCCGTCTCTCTTCCCCGGTGGCTGAGCGAGACATCATTTCAGCCCTAGCTTCCTAATTTATGCAGCGGCCATTTAAAACACGTCGCTCCTGCCACCCCCACCAACACACCGGCTGGCCTCGGCCATGCGCCGAGCCTTCCAACGATACTACGCTGGTAGCTGTTTATGTGCCCAGACATTTCAAAATGCTGCGGTCCACTTGGAGCCCAGCAGCTGAGGGCCAAGACTGCCAAAGACCAGGTTGAGTCCGGTCGGAGTCATCGGCGATGATGCAAAGTCCTGCCCGGGTTTACACCACTCAAAAAAATAAATAAATAAATAAATAAAAAATCAACATGTTTACTCCGTACGGAGGACCAAGTGGCATTAGGAAACGGTTGCACAGCACCCAAGGTTATCCCCTGCGCCGAACCAGGCACACCTTGTACGAGATTGGGCCTCGTCGAGTTTGTGCGTGTCCATTGAACCTTGACACCCTAGAGTCCTAGACTCTGCCAATGAATGGACGGGTTCACAATCTTTCCGTCATTCATCACCCAACGACACAAGACACCGCCCGCGTGGAAGCCCTTCGCTTGCGCGTCCTGGCTGTTCATCCCTTTGGGTGTTCGAAGGTGCCGATTTTGTACCGACCAAGGATGTTAACCAATTAAAAATCTTAATATAAGAGATATATTAATATACGAGATTATATAAAGATATAAGTATTATTTATATTTATATATATAAAAAGATATATATATTTTACGCTTGCACGATACTTGTACCATGCGTGTAATTTTATTTGACTACAGAGCGAAACAACCAAAAATTAATAAAAAGATATATATTTATACGCACAAAACCAGGTATCTACTAGGTATCTCAGACAAAGCGGGCCCGGTAGGCAATCGGCACCTTCAAACACCCAAAGGGATAGTACATAAATGCCATGTGGCATGCTTCCCTTGTAGACTAGGCGCGGGTCGATGCAAGAACAAGACAAGAAGCGTCCTTTGAACTTTGTCTATTCCAGGATACCTCGCACAAGCGAGTTCGAGTTCATGCCTATTACCAAAACCGCCATCTGACCAAAACGCCCGACTCCAAAACCCCCATCTGCGCCCCCTTCTAAAACACTAAAATACCCCCAACTCGGTCACGGTCAAAGTAATTCCCCCTCCCCGTCCTCGACAAGATCATCATCTTCTTCTTCCCAATCCACATTGGCTGCCATCTCCTCTGCCCGTCTCTGGACCTCCACCAACCCGGACAGCTCAGCAACGTAATCCTTCTCCTGCAGTGCCCTCTTGACAAAACCCCATCCATCTGTGCGATATGCGTCTAACACCTTGGGACTACATGCGCTGCAGCAGTCGTACGATTGACCCCGGATATTCATGTTTTGGAACGTAGATACGTAGCCGCGGATTTGGTGGGGGACCAGACCTAAAGGATGGCTGGGAGGGTCGCGGTCGGGAATACTTCCTGGCGTATGTTGGGGTGCTGGTGCCTGGTTTCGGAGCGGGTGTTGGAGGAGACTAGTGAACAGCTCGACCAGGAGGGCAGATGCGATGGCTGCGACGCCGGGCCGGGTTACTGTACACTGCTGGTCGAGGGTCTGGTCCTTCATTGACTGTCATGTCGTAAGTATCTAATAATCTTTCCTATTGAAAGTGAGGAGTGAGGGGGAAGGGGAGCGTGGTCTGGTGATGAGTAGACTTACATCGGCTGGGGCCACGACGTCGTTGCAAAAGTAACAGCCGAGAGATGTCTGTCCGTTCTCCCTCGTCTCGGCTCCGTGACGCATGACGACATAAGAGTCGAATCCAAGAGCGGCATTCATGACAATCTTTGCTCGAGCCTTTCCTATCACCGTCGGTAGCCAACGCGACTCACGGGTATCCATCAACAGGAAAATAACGTCGTGGTCCTCAATCAAGCCTTCGAGCTTTTCCAAGTCGGCCCTCGTCTTTTCCTCGTCTGTAAATGCATGGCCAAGCATTGGCACAGAGAGGGCATGTCCTTCGCTTTCAACACCGGGGTAGATGCGCTTCAGCATGGCCGCTGCGGCTGCTGCTTTTGGCTGCCCGCCATTTGTGCAGTCGTTGAACTCGAATAGTGGTTGTCGTACGGGGTTCGAGTATGAGACCCTGCCGTAGTCGACGAATGTCACCTTCCTCACACCCCAGCCTAGCAAATTTCTCGAGACGTAGCCTCCCAGTGTTCCGGCTCCCAGCAGGAGACATTTTGTGTTCTTGATAAGGTCCAAGTCAAGGTCGGGTGCGAGACGCCACTTCATCAGCTTCAGGTTCAAGTCGACGGATGAATCAGCCAGTCTCGTCGGGTCCATGTAGTCTGCGAGATTTGCCTGCTGGGCTTGAAGCTTTCCGTTTCGCGACCTCTCCCACCCCGTAACCTTGGGCATTTCTCTCATCTCCATCGTTTCTACGGAGTCCATTTCGATGGGGAGCACGACACTCCTGGCTTCGTGTCTTCGGGCCCAGGTGTCTCTGTAGCACAGAATCTTGGCCCTTGACGCCCGGAAGCGCTGTCGGATGAGAACCAGGAGATTTCTAAGTGGCCAGCCAGGTCCTTCGGCGTAGGTGGATGGGTCGACGAAAGCGACGTAACGATCCTCCTCGGGGATGTCGTTGAAGAAGCCCTCCTCGAAACTGCCCAATGTGCTGACTTCCCATCTAAACCCTATACTGTTCAAGCCTTCGATATCTTCGGTTTGGATCTCCTGACCACGAACCTTTTTCGCGAGAAAAAACCCATGTTGACGACTGTCAACGCTATATCGCCACGTCCCAACCCTGTCGACCAGTTCTGTGCTTTCATCGGCGGTGAAGCGTTCAACAGGTCCGGTCCGCTTCCATTGGGGGTCTGAATGTAAGGCTGGGAACGCGAACCAATACGTAAACTTGTATTTCTTGAGATCCGCGTACGAGAGGATGACAAAAGATGAGAGAAGCGATGGCACAGAGTAGATGGTACCGTCGTTGATTGCGTCCCAGATCTATGTTCGTCAGTAATGCGGTCGACAGGTAAATAGTAGCGCTCGTGTCAACGTGCCTGTCTCCCGGCTTTCCTAATCATCTCGGTTTTATCCGTCGTCTTGAACCGCTCCAGGGTATTGACATTCTTGATAATGCCTTCTCCTCTGGCTGTGCCTAGAGGTGCGCTGCATCAGACTGTTCAGCTTTCTGGAAGCCATTCCGGTATATGAAAATGCGAAAACTCACTTTTGGTTGGTTAGGGCATTACCTAGGATCTGCATCTTGCAGCTAGCCTGTGGTTCCTCAACTCTCGACTCATACAAACCGAGCACGTTTCTCGCAGAGTCATCCAGCTTGTCATAGTCGAGCTTGGAGGCAAAAAGAGCCGAATAAAAGGGTAGCTCAATCTCCGACGTAAACGTCGCAAACTGGAGAGGCGTGGCCATAGTGAATCGCGGCGCCGTGTATGTGATTGTCTCACGAGATTCGCTGCCAATGTAGTTGATGAGACGTCTGTGGCAGACAAATCCGCGCTGCGGGGCAGATGAGACGTGTGCGTGTCAAGGAGTAAATCGATTAGCTTTATTTCCTGGTGGTCGAGAGCAAGATATTTTTCGTGCAAGGAGTGGAAAGTCAAAGATGGAGATGGAAAATCGGTGCCGTGATATGTTGATAGTCGAGGTTGTCATATGACAAAGAGAGTCATCACGAGCTGCGTGTCAGGCTGATGATTGCGGAAACCGGGTTGTTTGCTGCACCAGACATGTGCAGGGCTGGCGCCTGCGACCAGGCTAGAGGCATCGAGCTGTGCCCCGCCGCGGGGTTAGAGCCAGGCCGGGGAGTGGCCGGAAAGTTCAACTAGTACATGTACTCTGTGCCATTTGCGGTGTTTGAACTTGCATACTTACAAAGTAGGCGGCATGATGAGCTGCAAGTGCAAGAAAGTCTAGTTGAACGGGAAAGTCGCAGATGGGTAAAACGTCCCACCACACAATTTAAACAATTTCGAACGGTACTTAAGTAGGTAGGCTGGGATGGCGGGTCTTGCTTGGGCTTAGCGGCACTATGTAGAACGCTTTAATTAAATAAATAAGCTCGACCGTTTCAACAAAGCAACAAGATCATCCGGTATGGTGTAGTGGCTAACATCGCTCGCTCTCAATTATCCTTATCGTGTATTGTTACCGAGCAGCCCAGGGTTCGATTCCCTGTACCGGAGAAGGTTTCTATTTTTGCATTCCGTCTTTACTTTTTGCCGTGCGATTCGCTACTTGGTGCATCTGCAATACCAGCATTATTGTTTGTCTTTAGAAGTATTCATCGCGGCGCATTTTGGTTTCGAATGCTGGCGTGGGTAGATTGTATGTTGTAAATTACACACTCAGTCACATCTCATGCCCAATATGTTTAACACGACGACTTTGTTCGAGGCTCTCACTTTGAATATTCACGAAGAGAACTGTTTATGCCTACTATTCCGCGGTCGTGCATAGCATATATAACAGAATACAACCGTCGTTGCCAAAGGGTGGGCTTTATGTCACTTTGACCAAAGTGGCAATTTGCTCCATGTCTATACTCGCTACGGAGTATACAGAAGCGATATTCGCGATATCGAATAAGGCGGGTGTAGATTTGGGCCGCCCATATCACGATTTCCCCTGGTGACGCTCAAAAAGGGCCTTTTTTGGTGACCAATATAGTGTTGCCATTTGCCGCTTAATACATACGCAGATCTCGGTAAAGTGAGCCGTTGAAAGGACCCTTGGCCAATGTGGGCGACCACGCGAACCCCACCGACACGACACGACTTCTTTGACCGCGCGAGATCCTTCCATTGTTGAGCTGTTGAGCGCTGGACTCAACGTCATTGATCACACAGGTCTGCAAGACCGATTTGTGCCACGGTAACGCGGTCAAGATGCTTATCGGCATCTGCGGAGGTGAGAATCATTTGCACAGAAGGGGCGCGTGAGCCCGTTGTTCGTCCTAACGCAAAACGCAGGCATTTGCTCAGGCAAGAAGACCGTCGCCCAATATCTCGTTGAGCACCACGGCTTCAAACACCTCTACCTGGAGCCGCCCAAGGAGAACCGCACCTCATCCAACGGGGATGAGCAAACCCCGTCGTCTGAATCTGCGAGTTCCCAGTCGTCTTCGTCGGCCGCGGCATTCAGCGGTGCCTTGAACTTCAGTGCTCTCACGACCAAAAACGGCCGCCACTCTGCATCTGATACATCACTGACGCTGAGGCCACAAACGGAACAGCATACATTCGCCTCACCTGAAGCGCTCCTCGACTTTGTCACTCTCCGCTGGCGAGGCCGCTTCGTGACAACTGACATACCCACCGAGGCCGTGCTCGACGTTTTCGTGCGCCGCCCTTTCTTCCTCCTCCTGTCCATTGACGCACCCCTCACCGTCCGGTGGCGGCGGTTCCAGCAGCGAGCCAAGGTGCCCGGAGAATCAGACATTGCCCTCGACGACTTTGTCTCCCGCAGCGACGCTCACTTATACGACGCCCACGGCGGCTTCCAGCCCCTCATCTCCCGCGCCACGGTCAGGCTGCTCAACACGTCGTCGTCGCTCGCCCACCTGTATGCCACGCTGGGCAAGCTCGACATCCCCAACCCCGACCGGCTCCGCCCCGGCTGGGACACGTACTTTATGGCCCTGGCGTCGCTGGCGGCCCAGCGCTCCAACTGCATGAAGCGTCGTGTCGGGTGCGTCCTTGTCGGGAGGGAGCGCCGTGTCATCAGCACCGGCTACAATGGCACGCCGCGGGGCATCCGCAACTGCGCCGACGGAGGATGCCCCCGCTGCAACGAGGGGAACAGTTCGGGCGTCGGGCTCGCCACCTGTTTGTGCATACACGCCGAGGAGAATGCCCTCCTCGAGGCGGGTAGGGAGCGAATCAGGGATGGCTCCGTGCTCTACTGCGATACGTGTCCGTGCTTGACTTGCAGCATCAAGATCTGCCAAGTGGGCATCGGCGAGGTTGTGTACGCCCATGGGTACAGCATGGACAAGGAGGCGGCAGCTGTGTTTAGTCAAGCTGGCGTTAAGCTGCGGCAGTTTATCCCGGTACGTTTTATGCGAAGCCCCTGCATGTGTTTATTATTAACCCTGGCTGTGCCTGTTATACTATACACAAGTCAATGCCGTCCGGTGCTTTGGGTTTTCATGTGGCGTGCTTGTGCTAATTTGGGAAAATAGCCACCCAACGGACTTATTCACCTGGAGAAAACGGAGTTATATTGAGACATGGTGTTGTCAGATTTTGTCGCGGTGAGCTGAGGATTATGCGGCATTGTAATATGGTCATGGCGTGTATCTGTGCGGAGCATTAAATGCATAGTGGAGTAAATATTGTACATATGTAAAGGCGGCATAGGCATAGTCCGTATTATCAATAAGTGTGCCACTTTGTGTTGCCTTTGCTGACTTGTCATGTGCAAGTGATGCTTCCATCTATGTCCGTGCTATGATTTGATTCTTGGTGATAAAAGAGCCTTTGGACTGGGATTTCGCGGTTTCCGGTAAAGTTGCGGTTCGTTTTATCATTGGGTGTACCGCAACACACCACCACGTCGGTAGATGCCCTTGCATTTTTCCCACCACGAGGTAGGAATACAGCTGGATGCGGCACGTGGTCATTGACAGTACGCACTGCCACCGACACCAAGGTGTGCCGTCCCATTCATCACCGCCCGAGCTTATGAAGTATAACAAAGTGCAATGGAGGAATGAATTTCCTAATTTACCTCACACAAGGAGAACACCAGCGAACAGCCACGAAACTACCAAGGCTCCAGGGTAGCATACAACGCAAGGTTGATTCATACACTTTGCTGGCTCCCACGGACCTGACTAACACACACTGTCCTGCATAGTACTACTAGTAGCACGTCGTCGACACATGGCTTTTCCGCAAGGGACACGGCCTGGTTGTTACCCCTATTTCTCTCGTCTGACACCACCAGACAACACGGACTAACAGAGTCACTATTTTTTATTCTGAAATGCGGTGAGGACTATACCGCACAGCCAGCCTTCACCGACGATGCGGGAAATATTATTATAGCTCTGCTTACATTACTATGCATCTGGACCCTCCTGCAGTCCATAATTTCTTTGCGGTGTGCCTGGGCTCTCATTAGGTTTTATGCAGCGCAGACTTCAGCCATGCTGAGCCACGAGTTATGTCCCATAAAAAAAGTGCAATAACATGGTGGTCAAAGCAGCGATTCATGGTTGGTTCCACCATTGCATACTCCGTGCATGGTACACAAAAAACAATACTTCTTTTATGAAATTGGCGTCCCAAGCCACCGCGGCGCACGTTATTGAGGGGCGATTGAGCGGGAGGAGCATCGCGGGCCAGGAGTTTGCGATGGGACAAGGGGAAGGGGAAGGGGGGAAGACGACGAGGATCCCAAGTCATTGTTCGACTCGCGAATGCAAGTCAAGTACGGAGTAGTTCCTCCCACCACGATGGCCATGGGTCACGAACCCGCCCGCGTCGAGGGGAATTCGATAAGTTTGATTCAGTTCTAAATGCAATCGGTAGCCTGTCCGCGAAAAATGAATGGCGCTTTTCGTGGGGCGGCCCCAGACTAATACCATCCCTGAAGCGAGATGACCCGGCGAAGATAGGGGTAAAGACGAAGCGCCGATTTTTTTCTCTCTAGGGGGTTTCTACCAAGCACGGAGTACGGAGTATTTTGTCGCAATCTCATGGTCCATTTCAAGCCCCCATACCGTGGAGGGCGGGATGGGAGATGTTTGTTTTTATCAACACGCCTTGACGCCATGTCGTCCCAACTAGCACATACCCTGACAAGAATTCAGGAACAAGGAAAATCGCTCCAGGCATGACTAAAGATCTAACAGTTTAGAAAGAGGGGTTGGGGAATATTGTTTCAACGTAAGAGGTTGGAAACAGTCGCCTCGCCCCGTGACAGCGGGATGGCCCTCGGATCTGTTCCCGCGAAAGACGCCTCTGCCTCCCGCTGACAACACACAGATGTCGGATCCACAATTGCAACTTTTGCCGTTTGGTCGAGGCCATCAGACAGGCCCAGGGGCTTCTTTCCGAGTGCGTGTGGCGAAAAGAAAAGGAAAAACAACAAAAAGGCGAGACACGGTTGTTCAAGCCGAGTGCATGACTTCAGGATCGACAGGCCACGCAGTGACCTCTGGTTGGCAAGTGCGTCTTGTCCCGACTTGACAGAGACGTGGGCTGCGGGCAAGTCGGGGCTCACTGGAACTCGAGCTCTCAAGCTCCATATCCCAAGAGTTGGGCTGTTGGGATCCCTGGGGTCCCTGAGGTCTCAAGGCTTTGGAATTCACACGCCCTTGACCCATCCATCATTGAGTGTGCAAGGTGCAGCTTTTGTAGCGGACCGAGATGAGGGCCAATAAGAAGCCAATTATTAAAATATAC